TAAAGGTGCCATGAATTGAAGGAATTACATGTGTTCTCAGGGAAAAAAAAAACCAAGATTGAACTCTGAATTAAGTCCTAAAGAGGCCTTCACCTGTGAGGATCGGCAGCCACCACACCTGAAGTGAAGGTCTGGGTCCTGATGGAGCTTGATGAAGTACACTGAAGCCCCACAATTACACTGAGCAAATTATTTAACCACTCTGACCCTTGGTTTCTTCATTTGTAAAATGGATATAATCATAGTATACCAGTCATTGTGCTGTTATGACCTAATATTGGTAAAGCCCCTGGAACGCTGCCTAGCACATTATGCTCCTAGAGAAATGCTTGTGAAATACATAATTGTCCAGTGGAGATTTTCAGAGAATATACTTTACCACACAAGAGAGGTTTGTAATTATCCTATTGTTTCTATGGGGAGAGTCACTCTGACAGGCGTTTCAATGTTTGAAAACAGTTTATTCTCAAGTCATTTAGAAGTTCTCCTTGAATCTATGTATGCCAACATAAAATTTATCCTAGGCTTTACCCAAATCATTATGTGTTTACTTTCTGAAATAAGGATTGCAGGAATCTAATTTTTGGTAGGTATGCTACAAAATTCCCTATCTGCATTGCTATTATTCTATATTGCAACCTCTTCAAGAGGAAAACTAGTACTGTTCTTACCTTTACACCCAAAGGGAACTAAAACTCAGGAAGGCTGTGGGCTGGGATTATAAATGTACTCCTGAGTGTGAATGCTTACTGTACCTCCTCCCTTCCATTCAGTTCAGCTATTCCAGATTTCAAATTTTGATTTCTTAAGCATTTGTACTAAAAAAATAACAAAAAAAACAACACTACTATCTTGCATTTGTAAACAACCCAACAGCATCAGATAGCAACTTCATTGAACAACCAAGCTTACATGCTAAACTGAACTTGTAATTATGCTCACATGCCAGTTTACATTGTAGTAGTTAGCTTTGCCTTAGGATAATGGCATACTCGCGATAATTCGCTCATAGAGAAAAGGTTTGTTTTAGCTCACAGTTTTGGAGGTTCTGGTTTGTAAGTGATTGTCCCGTTGCTTTAGACCTCTGGTAGAAGAGCACGTCGTGTGTGACACAGCAAAGCTTTTCACTGCATAGGCCAAGAAGCAAGCAAGCGGAGCAGTGGTCCATATGCCCCATGGAGGATTTGTCTCTAGTGACTGAAGGCCTTCATAAAAGGCCCCGCCTCCTACAGGTTCCTCGCAATAGCGCCACCTTGAGGGTCTAGCTTTTAATACATGGGCCTTTTGTGGGGAAATTATTTTATTTTTAATATTTTTTGTTGTTATTGTAAGAATACCGTACAGAGGGGTTACAATTACATGGGCAAGACAGTGAGTACATTTCTTATCAAGCATTGTTGCCTCCTCCTCTGTTTCCCCTTCCCATCCCTTCCCCTCTCCACCCCCCACCCCCCCCCACCCCCCACCCGGCCAAAGTTGTAAAGTTCGTTTTTTCGACATAACATCTTGTACATCTCAGTGTTGTAATGGGTCCACCTGTATCCCTATTTAAACAGTTTGTTTTTTCCCTTCCCCTCCACAAATTATATCAACATCAAATACAGTGAAAGCAGGGCTTATACCCTGGGGGACGGACATACAAAGCAACAAAGAAATCATAAATATGTTGGAAACAATCGCAAGAAAGAAAAACATTTGAATCCTTATCTTGGGGTTCATTTAGTCTAACATCAACTTGTCTGACAGTTTCTGTTTGTCTCAGACATATACTAGTTATTGCAAATAAGGGAAACCATGGGACCTAAATTATTTTATAGAGAGGTACTTTGAGAATCCCTAAAGCAGCAGTGTTGGAAAAAGTGCTTGGTAACAGCCGACTAGTATCTTTATCATGGAAGTGGGCTCATGATCCCAGTAGTGAATTTGTTAGACCCGTCCATCCCTGATGGCTCTTCAGCTTTACCGGCTGTTACAATGAAGCACAAGTGGCTGACGCCTGTAATCCTAGCTACCCAGGAGGCTGAGATCTGATGATCACAGTTCAAAGCCAGCCCAGACAGGAAAGTTTGTGAAACTCTTATCTTCAATTAACCACCAGAAAACCAGAAGTGGTGCTGTGGCTCAAGTGATACAGCACTAGCCTTGAGCTGAAGAGCTTAGGGATAGTGCTCAGGCCCAGAATTCAATCCCCAAGATCGACCAAAAAAAAAAAAAAAGGTATTTTGTTATATAGTTTGAGGATATGTATCATGACATCAAAATATACTTTTTTCTTTAATCATAGCATATAATCCAGCTTTAACCTTTAGAATGTTGATCCTTTAAAAACAGTTCATGCAAGTCACTAATCCTCTAATTCATAGTTACTTGTTGGTCTGTCCAAAGCCAGCAATTGTGTCTGCTGCTGGTTGAGTAATAAATGAAGCTTTATAACTACTAATGTTCAACTCATGCATACCCTGACAGTTCTACCACAAATCTCAATGTTTAAAATATCCTGACTAAACTAAATTTTTACCAGGTGAGCCAGAGATACAAGGTCAGGTTAAACATAGTTAAGAAGAAAAACAAGAAGACAAAAGCATTCCTAATAGTTGACAATCCTTGTTTTCAAAATGGCATGTATCGCAACGCTTTTTTGCTTTTCAATATCTATTCTTCCAGCCCATCATCTGAACTCCAGTTCTTCAACAGAGAAACCAGAATCCAGGTGGTGACAGTCTTTCCAACAACAAAGTCCAATGCAAGAATATACTAGTACAATGTCTTAAAAGTTGTGGAGGAAAATTATTTTAAGTGTGAAAATCTAGAACAAATTAATCTATGAGAAAAGGTACACAGAAGAATAAAATATTTCAAAATCTTTGTACTCAAAATAGTTCATTCTCCACTTATCAGGAAATCATGCATAAATAATAACTCAGTGTGAGTGATTTCACTGAGCCAAAGGATTTAGCACTCAGAGGATATCTAAGTCAACCTGTTGAAAAGTAAAGCTCAGAATCATAGCTGTACCTAGGCATAAAGAAAAACCAATCAAAACTAAAGTGCAAGGAGACTGAATAGTAGGAAAAGACATAGAAAAGGCACCCTATGGAGTAAAATGACTGCAAACTTGAAAATCTGCATAACTGATAAAGATTCCAAATCATCATTCTGACATGATTTGTAATAGTTTTACTTTTCAGAACTCTAGTAAATGTATCAATATAAAATTAGTACATTTTTATCTATAAAATTGGCTTTAGCATTCTGGCCTTTGTATTTAATAATCTGGTTCTTACATTCTTGATCTCTTTCTCTAGTCTTTTAATATAGTGTCTCGTCCTACTAGGTGTAAACAATGTTTGCTAGCACTGTTTTCCTACTGGTAGTTTTCTGTATTGCTTCTTGCTTTCGTGGTCTGAAAAATGGACAAATCACAAGTATGTTGACAGTTTGAATAAAAATTTAGTACAAGTAGATTCTGAATAAGGATTTGCACTCTTTGCCCAGAACTGAGGTGTCCAAACTGTTAAGCCTCCATCTGGAGGTGGATGGAGTGGTTGCCCAGAGGGTTCTGGGTTTTCCTTTCTAGTTCTCAGAGAGGTCAGGTTGCATAATGTGAAAACTGTCAGATTCAAAATGGAGTCATTCATGTCAACTCTAACCCAATACCTAAACAAATCAGAGAGGCTATGCAGGATGCAACTGCCTGAGAGTAACAAGGTATACAACTGTGCAAAAGTGTTAATGAAATCTTATTTAAAAAAATATTTCTGCAAGGATGCCTGCCCACAAGTGTCTGTTCTACTACACTGGCAGTACCTTGTTACCAAACCTCATGACAAAGGTTTATTTCAAAACATCTCAACTCATCATTTTGCCTCTAGAAGGCTCCCCATCAACTATTTTATTATTTTTTGATTTTTTTATTGTGAAATACTGTACAGAGGGGTCACAATCACATGAACAAGGTAATGAGTACATTTCTTATCAAGCATTGTTGCCTCCTTCTTTCCATCAACTATTTTAAAATATATTCATAACATACTATGGCACAAATATTCCCATCTCAATCCTATGCTGCTTACAAATAAATACTATTATTCTTCAGAGAATCTCTCCATGTGTTGTTCAGATTGACACTAAGGCACTGAATATAATTTGATCTTACTTTGTTTCTAATACACAGTTCTACCGAAGTTCTTTATGAGTGAAGAACAAAGACCACGTTTCCTATATTATAATCTGCTCTGGGTGTGGCTTTTGCCGCTCCCTCAGCTCAGTGATAAAATGCAAATCCCATTCTGTACGCCACAGTGACCACCACACCTAGATGCTCAGAATTATTCTCTCTTTATTAAGTTTCCACATTGAAAGATGGTGCTAGCTCATGTTCCTGTTTCATTATTTTTGTTTTCCCTATGAAAATTCTTACTGCCTCCAATGATTATTTTCACCCCTTCTACAATTTGCTTTACCTACTAACATAGCTAGGGCTGAACTGGAGTTTCCTAGACAATGTTTTTTTTTTAATACAAATACCACTAATTAACTGATTTATTTAAAGCCATCAGAAATCCTTATATAGGACAAATCAAAGCAACTCTTTTTCTAGAGAATTTTAAATATTATAGGAAAGCTTGGGTAGGCCGAGACAAAGGATGTACAATGTATTTTCTGGAAGTCATTTCTGCATGGAAAACCACTGTGGAATTTTGTTTTGAGTAATAAATTACTTTTAAATGAGTGCTTAAGCTGAACTCTATTTTTCTTAGATGGATGTATGTTTTCTACTTTGAGCTGTTGTATGACAAGGATTCATGAGCACTTAATAGGTAATTCTAAAAACCTTTTGTATAACTTGGGCATTTATTTTATCCTCCTGCTGAAAGAAATTAAAGAAATAAAGTTTGGGGATAGAAGCAGGCTTACTCATCTCTGCAGGACCCAAAGAAACAAACTAATAGTCATTCAATGATTAAATGTTTGAACAAGAAGCACTTGACACTCATAAATGCATAAAGTTACTTTATTTTAAGTATACATTTAATTTTGAAAAATATAAATGCTAAAATATCTCATCTTCTTCATCTCTTAATTCCATAAAAGTCACAATAGAAAGCTTCATAAAACTGTAAAATACTATGTTATAGGAATTTTAGGTTTTATATTGGAAAAAATTATTAGTAATATATTGAAATGTTTTCTGTTCTTTATCATTTTGTTCCACCATGTTGATCTACTTCATTTAAAATAAAAAGAGGCATCATTTCTCCAAAGTTAATAAAGACTTAAGAGAATAAAAATAAGAATATCTGAAAGTGCGTATTGATTCTGAAAAGTAATGTGCACGATATGTACCCGCCATGAAAATGGCTAAGAAGAGGCAACTATTCTTCTTTTCACATTGTAGGACTGGGACAAAGTGACTTCTGGCTCTAAAAGTTTCACTGGGTGACTTTAGCCCTGAGTTGCAATATTTGCCTAAAGTAAGAATTCAGGAATTTTGCTTATACGCATAGAACACAATGAAATGAACTGAGCCAAGAGAGAATATATAACCAAATCTCTGGTTTTAAAACATAACTGAGCATCAACTATGAAAGTTTTTCTTTCTTTTGCTTTTTTCTCCCCAGGTTGTCAGAAAGCTCAATAAAATCAGCATCTGAAAATTCCCTTCAGACAATGAGCTGAATGACTGCACCAATCCTCTTGGAGCCCCTGGGCTTCATGTTTGTGCTGTGAGGGCAGATAGGGAAAGTAAGAAAATCTCAGGTTTCTGCACCAAAATCATGAAGTGGTATGCAAAGGATTGAAGCAAGCTTTGTCCCATCCCTGAACAATGTCAACCTCTGTAATACAAATCAAATGGTTTTGATTTTTTTTAAAGATAGTCAGCAGTCAATACATTTCAAGTACTTTAACACAGTTACAAAAAAAAAAAAAGGAAGAAGAACCAAAAAACACGGAAGACAATCATTTTCTATATTAAACACCAAAACAGAGAGCTGACAAGAGATTACTCTGTGTGTGTTGTTGCCTGTGCATAAAATACACTCCAACTGGATTATTGATGGCAGGTCATTGCTTTGTCTCCTGTTCTTTCCAGTGAGGGCTGATGAAATGGTTGGTTTTCCTGTTTCTCAAGTCACTAAGTCCCCTCCCTAGACCTTCTCTCAACCTTGGCTGGAGGAAAAGGCAAGGAAAATGCTATTCTACTGCACACAAAACAATGAGGACCCTAATTATCTGTTTGTTGCACACAGTAAAGAGTGTCTTTTCTCAAGGCAAAGGGCACCTCCAGGAGTTTTCCTCTGGAATGCAGAACCAGAGGCATTCATGCTCCATTGATAGGCAGACCAGCTGTCATCCTTTCCATTCTAACACTCTGTATAGTCAGGAGACTCCTGGTTAATAACTCTGCATGCCCTTCAAGAAACCTGAAACTCAGAACACCAACTTCCCATCAGGAAGAAAAGAAAGAAATACTTTGTAAAACAAAACTAAACAAAAGTTACGCTGGGTGGGTCCAGGGTTCATGCCTGTTATCCTAGCTTCTCAAGAGGCTGAGATCTTAGGATCTTGGTTTGAAGCCAGCCATGGCAGAAAACTCTGTGAGATTTTATCTCCAATTAACCATGAGAAAGCTAGAAGTAGAGCTATGGCTCAAGTAGTAGAGTGTCAGCCTTGAGTGAAAAAGCTGAGGGATCATGCCCAGGCCCTGAGTTCAAGCTCACACACACACACACACACATACACACACACACATGCACACATGCGCACACGCACACGCGCGCGTGCACACACACACACACACACACACACAATACTGTAGTATTCATGTCTAGTTTACAAAACCATCTAGAAACAAAACCTTCCAAAGTCTATTTAGTTCTTCTCAGTGGCTCCATGTAGACCTTAGGTTTTCTTATTAGTATGGGAGCTACTTCTGTTCCTCAGTAATGAGATGCTTGGATACTAATTGTTCCTTGTAGCAAATGTAAGGTACTATTTTGTGTGTTGACATCACCAATACCAAACTCTTCCCAGTTACACAATACAGATTAGAAGTGGGAATGTAGGTAGCTTTTACCTTGTCTCAAGGGTTGAGGTGATGAGTTTAGTTGCTTCAGTTCTCTGAAGGGAATGGAGAGAACCTTTAATGTCCAAAGTTTGATTCATGATTAGAAAAAACAACATTTAGAGTTTTTGTAAAAGTGAACTAAAGTAGCCAGGCACTGGTGGCTCATGCCTGTAATCCTAGTTACTCAGAAAACTGAGATCTGAGGTTTGCTGTTTGAAGACAGCCTGGGCAGGAAAGTTCTTAAGATTCTTATTAACCAGCAAAAAGCTGGAAGTGGAGCTGTGGCTCAAGTGGTAAAGCAACAGTCTTGAGCATAAAAGCCAAGGGACAGTTCTCAGTCCCTGAGTTCAGGTTACAGAACTGACTACAAAAAAAAAAAAAAAAAAGAAAAGAAAAAGAAAAGAAAGAAAAAATGTGCCTTTAACTGATATCTGAGTAATAAAATATTTTTACACTTCTTTAATAGTAATTTTCTTGAACTCTCTGGTGGAATTTTCAATTTTTCCTATACGGTTTGGGTTTTCTGAGAACTGACATAAGGAATTGAAAACTTGGCCCTTTGTCTGTCATTTTTTCTTACTTTTTGCACATATGTGCATCAGACACACACAGAGCACACACACAGACACACAAAAATATCAAAATGAAAAAAAAAAAAGCCTAACAATACTGCATAGGACACTGACAGGATAATACAACCAGCATCTGTGCCTGGATATGATCAATCATCATCACAAATTAGTTACTTCGACTGTCAAAGAATTTCCTCTTCTCCCTTAGTCTTCTTCAGAGAACAGTTAAAATTCTTTCAAAGAAAGGGGAAAATGGATGCTTAGAAACATGGTGTTTTTAAATCTGATATAGCCTTCTGGCTTACCCTAGAGAGTGGGTATGTGCATGTTGTGTGTGTTTTGTGTGTGTGTGTGTGTGTGTATGTAAAAATCACATTTATATACAACACCATTTTTACAGAAAGCCTGGCAGCTACAAATAAGAGGTAGAACTACTCAAAACTATGTTTCCTGCTGCAGGAAAAAATTCATTTTCTTTACAGTAATTAAAAAAAAGTTTAAAAAATTGACAAAAAATAAGTTGCAGGTTAGGCCTCATAATTTAAACAACAAAATCTAGGAAGAAAAATATTCTCCAATGTACTCAACAGATAAGTTCATTAAAGGGTTAAAAAAAGATGCATAGGAAAAGGGACATTCCAGCACTTTGCTACAATGATGGCAATGGTTTCTCTATATGGGGTAAAAGTACCTTTAGTTTGTCTTCTTATAATAAGTCTAAGGTTAGGGCTGACAAGCAAGAGCAGACTAGAAGAGCAGCATGGTTTCAGTCCTGGGGAGGTTGGCAAGGGAGAAGGAGCTTTGTCTAGAGTTCTGGGTTTGTTCTACCAGACAAAGACAAGCCAGTGGGCATAGCTCCAAAGCTAAAGTTTTAAGTTCCTTCAATATTTTAATAAAAGCTGTTTAAAAAATCCTTAATACTTTTGACCTCTGCTTAGTAAAAGAAAAAAAAAAAACCCACAGGATCTGTGCGTGTCTTAAGTGACAGAAGAATTTGGTTGTCAGAGAATCTATCTGAACACTTAAGAATGTGAGGGACTTCCTCAGATGCTGTTTATAAGGAACAGAGCACAATGGTCTTGATTTTTACCTATGCAAGAGAGAAGCAGAAAGACTTCTAGATTTGGCCAGTGACCAAAACCTAAAACAAAACAAAAATGAAAAAGAAACAACATCTGAACAAAATGAAAATGAAAACAAAAAACATTCACAACAAAACTTGTCAGTTTTAAAGAAAGACAAACAGGTTACAATGTAGTTTCTGTTCCCTTGCTCCTCCAGAAGTAATCATTGTCTTCAGGCTCAAGTTCTATTCTAATTTGAGGCACAACTTTTACTGGAGTTCTAGGAGGACTAGAGGAAAAGAAAAAAGAAAAAGAAAATAAATAGTAAATCCAGTTTTATTTATCATCTTTCAAATGCTTACACACTGTGTAGAATTCAAATGTGTCTAACTTTGGATACTCATCCCTTCCTTGTGTGTTAAAAACAAGATGTATTAAATTTGATCAAGGTGCTAGCAGAGTCAAGAAACTCAAGTAAAGCCAGGTGCCAGTGATTCATACCTAGCTCACACCTGTTAGCCTAGCTACTCTGGAAGCTGAGCCCTAAAGATCAAGGTTCAAAGCCAGCATGGGAAGGAAAGTCCATGAGACTCTAATTATTCACCAGACATCCCAAATTGGAGGTATGGCTCCAGTTATAGAGGATAAGCCTTGAGCAGAAAAAGCCAAGAGACATCACCCACATCCTGATTTGCTAGTGCTAGCACACACAAAATAAGTAGAAATTTCATACCTTGACTTTAAGAAATAATAGCAAGACAAAAAAAAGGGACAAGCAGACTGGTAATATTATTGGTAATTAAAAAACCAAAAGACTGACATGTTAACAACATTTGGAGATTTCAGTCTTTGGAAACCCTAGAACGATCTGTTGTCTTGAGAGCTTGCAAGGGGAAGAAAATGCCTGGATGAAAAATTCCAGGAAAGAAGGGATCAAGCAACAATGCTTGATAAGAAATGTACTCGTTATCTTGCCCATGTAATTGTAACTCCTCTGTACAGTATTCTCACAATAAAAACAAACAAACAAATAAATTATGAGCGTGGGGGGCAGGGAGAAAAATTCCAGGAAAAGACCTGCTATCCTTAAATCAGGCATGATGCTGAAATGATAACCACTCATTTTGATTCTGGGCTTTAAGTTGATGAAGTTGAGTATTTCTAAGAGTAAGCAGGTCTCTGAGAATGTTTTCTAAAAGCAAAGGCTGGTGTGATTATTGGGTAATTTATTTAAGATAAATCCTAGAGAGGACAAAGAACAAGGAGTTCTGCCAATCTTCTACCCTTGGACTGCATTTCCATGAGACAATCATTCCACAGAGCAAGGGGAAAGTAGCTTCTCCTTTACCTTGGCATACCGAGTGACTGAAGGAAAGGAATTTTATCAGCATGATGTGTGGCGTTCAAGGAATGTTGATGCTCTTTCTCCTGAAAGAAAGCAAAGCTGAGAATCAAAAAATACTATCAAAGTAGAATTTAAAGAAACAATCTTCACAGAATTGAGGGAACTTTTACAACTGGAGAGTAAGAAATATGAGTCAGGCAACTTAGCCGTTGTTTCAAAGTTAAGTGTAAGCAGTGGATGACCTATCATTTATTTATATTTTTAATTTTTTAAATTTTATTGTATTATAAAGATCCTGTACAGAGGGGTTACAGTTACATGAGTAAGGCAATGAGTACATTTCTTGTCAAGCACTGTTGCCTCCTCCTTTGTTATTCTCTCCCTATCCCTTTATCTCCTCCTTTCTTGTTCTCTGGAATGGAGCACTACCTACTATCCTCTATCATTCTAGTGAGAGAGGTGAAAGAATTATGTCCTCCAGCGTGAGCAACATTTTAATGTCTAATGCTGGCCCTTCCATTTCTTTCCATGTTCTATCGTTAGCTATTATTCAAGAGAAAAAAAAAATGGAAGTACTGGTCAGTCACACCCATCACTCTAGCTACTCAGGAAGCTAAGATCTGAGTATCTCAGTTTGAAGCAAGCCCTGGCAAGAAATCGCAGGAGACCCTTATCTACAATTAATCAACAAAAAGTTGGAAGTAGAGGTGTGACCCAAGTGGCAGAGCAAAAGCCTTGAGCAAAAAAGCTAAAGGACAGCTCTCAGGCCCTGAGATCAAGCCTCAGTTCTGGCAGAGGAAGGTGAAGAGGAGGAAAAAAATACTTAGGTATGATACTGAAGTTCTATTTTGATTGAATTTGCTCATTATTTATGGACTATGACATATTGGTAGAAAAACATTCAGTCAAAATGATCACATACATTTGCTTAAGTAAACTAATAGTATATCAACTTTTAATTTATACTGTTAGAGGGATTTGGGGCGAATAAAGAATGGCACATCAACTTTTGTCACAAGTCTCAAATGATTTTTGAAAAGTAGCCTTTACACTGTACTTAGAAGGTGCTGTGTCAGATTATTTTATCCATAGAAGACATACAAGCTGAGCATGTACACCATAGCTCCTGTCATTCATTCTCTAGAGATAAAAGATGAAGTTAGAACTTAGTTTAGGGAACTTCAAATCAAAATAGAATTCCAGCCAGGTATTGGTAGCCCATACCTATAATCCTAGTTACTCAGGAGGCTAAGATCTGAGGATCTCAGTTTGAAGCAAACTCTGGCAGAAAAGTATGAGATGCTGTCTCCAATGAACCAGCAAAACAGTTCAACTAGAGGTGTGGTTCAAGTGGTAGAGCACCAGTAATAAGCTAAGTGGCTGAATTGCAGTGTGAAGCTGAGTTCAAAACTGACACCATCTCACACATACACACACACACACACACACACACACACACACACACACACAAATAAATAAACTGCTAACCAAGTCCCATTGATAAAAATGTACCAATTACAGTTACAATTTAGAGTTAGATGCTGTACTACAGATGTAAGGCTGCTTTGATTCTTTATTCTTTAAACCTGTGATGCTAGACAGCATCCAAGTGGCTTCCCAATGACTCCTTTCTCCTGGAATTTATGTTCTCGTGTAATTTCTTCCTATACTCCAACAAAGATGTTCTCCACAACCAATACAAGATGGTAGACGTGGCAGATGTGACGGTCTACCACTTCTGAGACTTGATTATAGAAGATTGATGTTTCTGTTTAGTTTTCTATCTCTTTTATTACTGGCTCTGGGTGAAGCCATGTCATAGGCAGTCCTGTTGGCATGTCCAGTGTGACCTGGGCCTTGTGGCAACTTGGAAGCAGATTCAAAACTCCAATCAAGTCAGAAGAAACTTAGTCCTAGCTGACAGCCTGATTCATAGTCTTAGGATAAGTGACCTGGAGCTACAATTGCCACTTCAGTTGCTCCTAAATTTTTGAATGTCAAAACCATTTGTTTAAACTGCTAAATTTTGTGGTAGTTGGTTATTTGGCAAATGATAACTAATATATCATTCATTTCAACCTTTTCTTGGGATATTAACATATTTTTTGGTGTTTGGTTCTGGTTCTTGAATTCAGGGAATGGATGCTGTTGCTGAGTTTTTGCCACTCAAGGCTAGTGCTCTACCACTTGAACCACAGCTCCATTTGTGGCATTTTGGTGGTTAATTGGGAGATAAGAGACTCATGGACTTTCCTACCTGGACTAGCTTTGAAGTTCGATCCTCAGATCAGCCTCCTGAATAGCTAGAATTAAATGTGTGAGCTACCAGTGCCCAGCAGGATGCTAACTTCTTACTGATGTTCAAGTGGCACTGTCAACTAGACAAAAAAAAAATCTCAACTGTGTCTGTTCCTATAACAGATGAATGTAATTTAAAGTGCATTTGGAGCTAGAATATATTTTCTTCAAATAAGAACTCAGAGTGGAAAATGCTTTGAAGGCAATTTTTAATTGCTATTGGACTAGCTTGAGATGTTTACAAAAGTTACTAGAGTAGCCTGTTAACTCAATTACAAAAGAAAAAAATGACATGTTATAAACTATTACACTGGAGCCACCAGGCTATTCCCTAGCAAGACCAATGCAGTTACACTGGTGATTTTGAAACAGAAGAGAAATAAAGACATTAAGAAGAAAAAAAGACATTAAGAAGAAAAAAATGTATTGTGCTAATAAGTCATGACTGCCAATTTAATTGGAAATATTCAAAAATTTGAATATTAACCATTGATTAAATGATCACTGAAAAACCCATGATGCAATTTCTCTTTTGTAATGAATTGGTCATTGATTGAAACCTAAGGAACACAAACAATGACAGCGATGTAGTTCTATAAGCTGTATTTCTGGATACTGGTATGGGGGAGAATATCCATTAAAAACATGCTTTTAGGTTTAGCAATTGAAAAAAACAAACAACTGTGATGACTTGAGAAGAGGAAGGACCGCCAAAGGTTATGGATAAAATGAAGACATGAACAATAAAGCTTAGGAGTAGAAAAAATGAAGTTATATCAGAATTAAATATAAATATTTTACATGGGGGAGAAAAAAAGAGAACACTAAAGTGGAGCAATGGGAAGATAAGAGTTATACATTTTCTCTGCAGGTTAAAGCATGCATGCAAGAGGTTAGTTCTACTCACTGTCGGAAGGTTTGCTATCGCTTAGGAAAGGTTGCTGTTCCATGATGTCCATTGGGATTTTAATACTGGGAACCTTTTCTGAGTATGGGCAGTCAGACTGTGAAAGAAATGTATAACTGTTTTTAGAATGCTTTGGTTACTCATTGCTTCCTACAATTCAATATTCTGCATATTATCATTTACATAGGTCTAGGTGAGAACACCTATTACCTACCAGCTTGCTAACTTTTCAAACACTTCTTGACATTTGTTCTCTTTTCTTCTGCATGAATGGTAACTGAGTATGTTTAAAGGAGAACCCACATCAAGGAGATTGCTATTACTTCCTTGTAAAGCATTTTACAAGATCCCAACCTGCAAACAAGGGTTATTGTATATGTGAGGCAAATTACCTCACTGTGCAAACAGATTAAATCTAGGAATTTTCCCAAACTATAATATCGTCTTAAAGCTCTTGTTTTTTATGTTCTTCAAGTCTATCTCTAGGAAAAACATGACCCATTTTTTTTCCTTCTAAAACAAGTAGACTATTTTAACATCCACTATAATGAGCTGTCTACAGACCCTTAGTTTTCCCTTCCTTACTTTAATACTCTATTTCAGATTTTATTTTGCAATGAAGAGTTCACTTCAATTTACTTGTACCAAAGATGTTTGAAAATATAAAACCAAAAAAATCCAAGAAAATAAATCCAATAGGAAGTGTCATGGTCAGATAAACAGAGAATAATAACTGGATTAAAAATGATAAAACCAAGCAGCTGATCATGGAGTTATTTAAAGAACCGATCACTTAATTCAATTTGTCACAGCTTTCCACAGGACTAATACTTAGCATAGTGAATCCAGTTGTCTCTAGGGAGAAAATTTTTAATTGAAAGTTGGAAAGAGAACTAGAGGGTTAAGAGTGTAGTTCAGGGATCAAGTACATGCAGCACAGCTTGCACCAAGCCCTGGGTTCAATCCTCAGTGCCACAAAAAGAAAAGATCAAGAAAAAAGAAGACTAGGGTAAAAAAAATAACTAAGTTTTGATATTGAAAATTCCTTCACAATGAATTTAAGAGAATAATAACCTCTTGGAGAACTAAGACACTGCATTTAAACTAGCAAAACAAAAACAATTAAGATGCCACGTGTACTTTCCTTCATGGCAATATTAAGAATAAATCTTATTTCAAATGTTCCCTGAAATATGTTCTTAGAAATGGACAAGCTGGCAACTGACTTTTAATCACAGCCTACCAAGAAGGTTCAAAATGGTTGTGAGGAGCCAGGCATTGGTGGCTCATGCCTATCATAATCCTGGATTCTTAGGAGGCTGAGATGTGAGGATGGCCATTTAGAAGCCATCCCAGGTAGAAAAGTCCATGAGACTCTTATCTCCAATGAACCACCAAAAAGTTGGTAGTGGAGATGTGGCTCAAGGGACAGAGCTCCAGACTTGAGCAGAATAAGCTAAATGAGAGCACAGGCTCTGAGTTCAAATATCAATATCTGAAAAAAATGCAACAAAAAAGAAATGATGTAAATGGCCTAAAATGTTGACAAGTCATAATTTCTACAGCTTCTGTCCGTAAATATTTGAATTGCAAGCCTTAGGTTTTAGTATGGTCCCATATAACCATAGACCCCACACCATACTACTATCAGATAAGTCTTAGAAGATCTACCTTCCAAGTGTAAAGTCCTGAAATAATGGGCATACTACCCAGGGCTTACTGCACAGATATACTCTGTCTGGATGAATTCATTGTCAAAGAGCAAATGAATGTGTTTATTTGTTGTTTTGGTCCAGGTTCAATGGAGAGAAAAGTAAGAACAGCAGTAATATCACATACCACTGTCAGGAAATCTATTGGGAATATAGGTTTCAAAATGGTCAATATTCACAAAGCAACAGCAATATTTTGATAAAATATGATTTGCTGAAATTCCTGCTACAAGTTGTAAAACATTTCTAGAGCTCGTTTAAGCCATTTTTTTGGTCACTGGAAAGCAATGGGCTTTACCACTTACAGTTAGATAACTTTAGAAAAATTTAGGTAAGTGTCACATCATAATATACTATATATATATAGAGAGAGAGAGAGAGAATATATATATATACACTATTTAATATACTATATATACTATATTATATATAGTATATTATGATATGTGTTATATATATATATACATATATAGAAAATTTGTCAACAGCAGTGAATACATGGTAGAGAAAACTTATGATGTATGTTGTATATATACATATATAGAAAACTGTCAATAGCAGTGTATACATGGTAGAGAAAACTGTGCAAACCATTCTATGATAGATACTTCCAACAATTTGCATTTCTCAAAGTAAGCCTTAGCTAGTGTTCAATATTCTGAGTGCCATTTAATGAAGAGACAAACTGCAGAGAGACCAACTCTTCCATGGAGAAATGATGGCTTATAATATATAGCAGACAATATTATTCTGTCTACATTACACCTCTGAAATAAAATTATATTTAGAATTTGAAAAAAATTCCTCAAAGATGGTATTTTATTTTTTAATCCATTGTACTCATAAATCGATATGTTAAATTGAAACACTTTTGTACAGCTACTTAAAGATAATTTAAAAAATTAAAGAAAGTTCCATAATATAGCTTTGTATACATCTTAAGTTTTGTGTTTATAGACATGCACTGAAGTAACTTTTACAAATTCAAGATGAAATACTGCTTTGATCATCTAAATATTTCAGGCAATTCATTTTCATTGTCCTCAATGGTTCAGAGATTTATTTCAATCTTTGATTTCTATTCAATGTGCAAGGGTATCATTCTTCTTAATGCCACATGTTAATCTCGGTTGCAGCTTAAATACATTCTCTCCTTTTATATCATCATTAGAAACAGAAAATCTATATACCTGCTCTCACTATAAAGATAGATGGTGACAGTCCTAAAAGCTCCCTCAGTCCCTTTTCTCCTTAGCTAAATGTGTCATGTATGTTTTGTCTTTTTCTAGTAGATCAATTTATCTGAAATTCAATTCTGTCTGTTGTCTCCCTTCATTATGCCATGTCCAAGTTCTACAAAAAGAATATAATCAGACAGTCCAGTCGACTGGAAATAGGTAGAGAGGCGTGGATTAGAGTTGAACATCACTGTTTATGGCTATGCAATCTTACAAAAATTACTTAAATATATGTATCTAGATGCCACATCATATACTGTATATCCATACAATTTTATTTGTCAATAACATCTGAGTGAAGTAGAAATTTTTAATTTTTGAAAAATTAAGAATGTTAGCATTTCTCAGTTGAAATGAGGACAAAAGTATACCCTTTATTTAAAGATCTGTTCTGATCATTCAGCAAAATGTATGCATAACTCAAGTTATCAAGTATAGAACAGACAATAAAAGTTAACTATATCCCTATTTTGGAATGGGTAAACACACAAAAGTTGATTCGTGACACTATACTGTATAAAATCCAGAAAAAAAAATCACATGAAAAATAGCATTTTGGCAATTGTTTCAAAATGCTACTGGGATAAGTTGTGTGTGTGTGTGTGTGTGTGTGTGTGTGTGTGTGTGTGTGTGTGTGTGTGTGTGTGTGTCTTTGTATATCTATGGCTGTATGTGTGCATGCGTGTGAATATGTGTGTGCAAGCTTTTGTCAAAGCAAGAGCAATCCCAGTTTTTCTTTTGCTTGGGATTCATTGCAGATCCCTGCCAGAGCATCTGTACTTCTACAACATGGTCTTTCAAAGAATAAAAATATCAATAATTTCATTTCTTAACTTAATCAGCTAGTTACAGAAGGACCATCTGGACTATGACACTGACCATATAATTAGGTAAAAAGACCCTAAACTCCAATTCCCTTTCCTTTTTTTTTTTTTTTTGAAGACTTTTGGAAAGATAATTGCAAATCGTTTTAGTGTAAGTGCACTGCTAGTATAATATACTAGCGTAAGACTTCATTGAGAGCCTCTTTAAATAAACCTCCTGTGACATCCATCCATAGTAGACTTAAAATTGCAGAAAATTGAGTTACCAGTTGAAATATAAATCCTAAGATATCAATCATAAGCCAAATACATTTTATAGCATTAGTGATCTAGCAAACTTCCTTTCCATCAATGAGACTGGAGTTCTTTAAATGTGGGGTATTTCTTTTTAGCAGTCATGATGTCATTATTAATATATTAATGGTTACAGCAAGGCTTTAGAAAAAAAGTGAGAAAACACAAGGTAAATTGGGGGGGGGGGTGGGATGAGGGACACTGACACTAAGGCCAGATAAACGTTCTGAGACCTCAGCACTTCGTTGCACATCAGGTCTATTAAGTTCATTTTCTTTTCGACACTTTTGTCTTCAACTAGCTTACTTTGGAATTTTGGAAAGTTCCTTACATCATCATTATCGCTATCCAAACTTCCCTTCTTCTTTTTCTTTTTCTTCTCATCTTCCTTCTTTTTCTTGTCCTTTTCTGGAATGACGTCATCAAGGAAGCTGAGGTCATGCTGGGAAAAGAGGTAGTCCATACCCTTTCTGACAGCTACAAGAGCCAAAATCTGGAAGGGAAAAAATGGGAAGATGGTATTGGTATACTTTGGGGATACTTTGGGGAGGAGAAGGGGAAAAAAAACAAATCGTTTAAATAGGGATTCAGGTGGACCCATTACAACAATGAGATGTACAAAATGCTATTGAAAAATGAACTTTACAACTTTGGCCGGGGAGGGGGTGGGGAGATGGGGGGGAGTGTAGTTGTGGAGATGGGAGGGCAGGGATGGTAGGGGAAAAACAAAGGAGGAGGCAACAATGCTTGATAAGAAATGTACTTATTGCCTTGCTTATGTAATTATAACTCCTCTGTACAGTATTTTCACAATAAAAAAAACTCATTAAAAATGGGAAGATGGAATGAAAGTATGTCAAAGGAAGTTATACCAATTGCTGGGATTTCCCCAACTAAGCAGAATAAAGCCCATTTAGTACAAGGCAGAACTCAGGCTCAGGAGTGGGCTTCTACGAAGCAGGCCAAAATCATTTCTTCATAGAGAAAGCTGTCCCATAAAATTCTCAATTTAAACTCACGGTGTTTCACTGAAATGAATGATCCCATTAAATTAGAATTTTAATGTGAAAGGATGATTTTTCAAAATAATAATTTCCCCTTCCACGCTAAGATTTTTAATAAAACAAAATTTACATGTCAAAACAGCTATGCATAATTTAAAATTATAAAATTTAAAAATTTATATAGGTTTTTGGAAATCAAAGAGGTTCCTCAAAAGACTCCACATAGAGCTCCCTTATGACCTAGCAATCCCACTTTTGGGCATTTACCCAAACAATCACAAACAAGGTCATATCAAAGCTACCAGCATAACCTTGTTTATCACAGCATTATTTACCATAGCTAAGATGGAACCAACCCCGATGCCCCTCAGTAGAAATGGATCAAGAAAAGGTGTGTGTGTGTGTGTGTGTGTGTGTGTGTGTGTGTGTGTGTGTGTGTGTGTGTGTGTGTGTGTGTGTGTGTGTGTGTCAGAAAGAATGACGTTGCCTCATTTGTTAGGAAATGGAAAGACTTGGAAAAAATTATACTAAGTAAAGTAAGCCAGGCCCAAAGAAACATAGGTCCCATGGTTTCCCTTGTTTGCATGACCAGTGCATGTCTAGGACAAGCAGAGAAGGTCAAAGGCTATGTACATACGACCACATGAGATAATATTAAGCAAAAAACAAAAAAAAAAACCCACAAGTGGTTTTTTTCTTTCTTGCTAGTGCTTTTAGTGTACTTACAATGCACTATGGGATTCTTTTGTTTCTTTTGAATGTTCTTCCCTCACGTATAACCCCTGTTTGCACTGGATTTGATGCTGGTGTTCTGCATCTTGTATATACATGTTTGAAATTTAGGGAGAGGAAGGGATATTGCAGAACGCTTAAATGGGGATGCAGGCTGACCCATTGTGACAACAAAATATACAGGACACTATGTTGACAACGAACTTTACAATGTTGGGGCGCGGGGGGGGTGGCGGACAGGAGGAGTTGGGGAGGCGAGGAGGGAAGTGATGGTGGGGGGAAAACAAAGGAGGAGATAACAATGCTCACACAAAATGTACTCATTACCCTACTCATGTAACTGTAACGCCTCTGTACAACATTTTTACAATAAATATATACAAAAAATCAAGAAAATCTGCAGAATGCAAGAATACTAAGATATCTTCCATATAAGATAGTACTTAAAGATCCTTAGATCATTTTATTTACAGGGCTATTTCAACTACTATTTCAACATGAACTAAAGTACTTACCACGTACCTGATACCATTCTAAACTCTTAGGCAGTATGTAACCAGGTAAAGAAAGGATTCAAGGGGTCGTGGTTGTCCGTTTCCAACAGTCATATTCTTGGCCTCTCTATCTTTAGTCTATGGGTTTCTTTTGAAAAGCAATTCCCTTTCCCTTACTTCATCTCTGAAGATAATTAAAGAGCTTTGCTCCACAGCAGAGATACAGGAGAGTTGTAGGAGTTCTGTGTCAATTTAAACATCTGTCTTTATCTACATCACACATATTCTATATGCCAGTTTCTTCAACTCCTAGAGGAATCAGTAATATCCACCCTGCTAATAGTACAGAACTTTTGTAACCAAATAAAAGCTCTGATAAACTACAGGTACTTCACTAAGGTATTATTATTTGACACAATAAGTGGTTTACTAGATATATTTCAAATATATTATGGTTTAGCTTCATTTATTCTGATTTTAGAAAAAATAGGTAGATAACACAATATGAATAAGTAAATGGGAGTCATTTCTCATGTTCACTGTGTTTTTACAACAGATCTCTCCCTCGCACACATACATACACACATATGTATTATATGATCAAATACTGTAGATTCAAGAGAGATCTCAAATAGTATAATTCTTTAGAAAACTAATATCGAAGTTCAGAAAGATAAAACACCAGGAAGCTGGTACCCAAAAGGATGGGGTGGAATCAAGGGAAAGAGCTAGAGGGATGACAGCAAAAAGAGGGGGAAAATGCAGACAAGAATCCAATGTATAACATAAAAAATTAAGAAGAGTGAGGGAAGGGGTGGGTCGGGGAGGGATGGGTAAGAATGTTGAAATAGGTGATATTGATCAAGATATTCTGTATTCATATACTGCTTTGTTAAATAGCAACTCCTTTGGACAACTATATCTTAAGAGATTTTAAAAAATTAATTTAAAAAATTGGACTTAACAAATATGATATGAATATTTATTTTATCATTCTCTCTGTGTCTCTGGGAGATAAAACAATTACAAAGAACAAAGAAAGTTATAATTCTATTTAAGAGTAAGAGATGTACAGAAATTATTTCCAGAACTATAAGGACAGATAGAACAGACCTGAGGGGAGTCTGTGCTTTGTGTCCTGTCTTAAGTGTACGTGTGCATTTTCTTACAAGAAATGTGGACTAATGGGAATGAATAAAACTTATTAGTGAGACCAAGCAGCTTTTATTTCTTTTTCCTTCATTCACTAGAGGCCTGGGGGTACAGATCATCATAGAGCACCTGTTGTAGCAAGGGCAAGGCCCTGAGTTCAAACCCTAGCACTGGGGTCGGGGGGAGAGGGGAGAAAGCTACTGCAAACACTCTACTGCTCCAGCCACACCCCTAGCCTTTCTTCATTCACTTCTGATTTGAATGGAATGTTAGTTGCTTTCCCTTGTTTCTTTTCACAGCGTGGCAAGGCTACAGAGTCTAGTCTTAAACATGGCAAGACACTAGTCACAAGACCTTCAAAGTCAAAGCTTCTCATTCCATTTCTTCTGATGAATCTGAGGATTTCTTACAAAATCCTCCAATAACTTCTGAAATTTGGACTGACATGTACTTTATTTTAATTTAGATTGCCCCAATTGTACAATATTTTTTAAATAATATACACTGATATCAACAATGTGTCTAGCATTGTGCTATACACTTGAGCTTCACCGAGCATTCTTGGCGTACAAAACAATGACAATATCACCCACATTTGACTCAAGAGTTAATGGTGGCTCAAGGAGATTCACTGACTACCACAAAGCCTGTATTTGAACTCAGGTGAGCAGGATTGTAAGTTCATCTAATTATCATAGTCATGGAAACTTAATAATAACATCTTAAAGTGATGAGTTAAAAACTGAAAAACGTTGGAATCATACCTAAAAGACTGAGGGCTTGCATCTCTCAATAACATATGAGAGCAATATAACCTCATGGATAGGTTAGTAAAAGAAAAGCTCACCATGACTGGAAAAATGATAGCAGCCACTGTTGACTTGAGGATCCAGAGCAGGGCCAGACATAACACCTGCAGGAAAGTGAACAGGTGGACTCGGCGCAGGGGCACATGACGCAGGTAGATAAAGTCAGGCTGATGCTTCAGAGGCATCAGAAGCAACTTCAGACGATCCATGAACTAGGTAGAAAAGGGGAAGAGATTCCAATTATATTACTTCAAACACTAATGCAAGTCATTTCCACTATGTCTGACTAACCGCTAAAAATTTATATTCTACAATTTAGGCAAACAGTGTCCCTTGCTAAAAATTCATATTCTCTAATTTAGGCAAACAGTGTCCCTTTCAATGGACAAAATGTTGCAAAGGAAGTATAGAAATTTAGTTTAGCTTAGACCACAGCACAAGTCCTTTAAGTTTTGTTATTTTTTTCAGAAATGTGATACAGATACATGAGATATAGTGGTTACTCAAGACTGAGGTCACTTCACTTAATACAATTTTTTCCAAATCTTTCCTTTTCCTGATAAATGGGGAAATGTCATTCTTTCTGATGGAGGCATAGAATTCCATTGTGTATATATACCACATTTTCTTGATCCATTCATCTACTGAGGGGCATCTGGGTTGGTTCCATACCTTAGCTATGGTAAATAATGCTGCAATAAACATAGTTGTACTGGTAGCTTTAGTATGGTCTTGTTTATGATCATTCAGGTAAATGCCCAAAAGTGAGATTGCTGGGTCACAGTGGAGTTTTCTGAGGAACCTCTTTCCAAAGTGGTTGAACATTAAGTGAAGTAAGCCAGGCCCAAAGAAACATAGGTCTCATGGTTTCCCTTATTTGCATTAACTAGTATATGTCTGAGACAAGCAAAAAAGGTCAGATAAGTTGATGTTAGGCGAAATGAACCCCAAGATTAAGGACTCAAGTGGTTTTTCTTTCTTGCTATTGTTTCTAACATATTTATAAGGTGATTTTTTTTGTTGCATTGTATGTCCCTCCCCCACAGTATAACCCCTGCTTTCACTGTATTTGATGTTTGTATAATTTGGGGAGGGGAAGGGAAAAAACAAATTGTTTAAATAGGGATACAGGTGGACCCATTGCAACAATGAAATGTACAAGATGCTATGTCAAAAAAACAAACTTTACAACTTTGGTGGGGGGGGGGGTTGGAGATGGGAGGACAGGGATGGGAAGGGGAAACAAAGGAGGAGGTAACAATGCTTGATAAGAAATGTACTCATTACCTTGCTCATGTAATTGTAACTCCTCTGTATGGTATTTTCACAATAAAAAAAACTTATTATTAAAAAAAGACTGAGGTCACAAACTGAGACATAAATTCTAGCTGTTCATTTCCTTGTTTCACTTTCTGCCTCTCAGTCTCCGCAGAAGAGGGTTTTATGCCTCTTTTGGTAATGCCGTGATGAAACGAGACCCCTGACTGCCCCAGCTGCCTCATCAGAAAGAAGGGATGATCTATGCATCATACACCTTCAAGGAAATATTAGGAAGTATTCAACTTAAAAATGGGCAAATTCCATATCATTTATATGACATAGCTTAACTAATACATCCAGCAATGTATCACCATTTCTTTGCAGGAAAAAGGTCACATGAATGCTCCATTGAGACAAGTAGACAGAGACAGCAAGATGTGTGAATGTAAGAGAGGGCAGTGCACAGTCATGTACAAACACATCTTGAAATGATGGTGGAATAATGAGCTGACATTGATAGTGATGCATAGGATATTTAAGAACACATCAGACGGTTTTTCAGCGGCATATATTTGGTAACTATATGTTGGGTTGAGTAAGTATAACAGCTTGGAGGCAATGTCTGTTTTTCTTTTTTGGAGGAAAAGGAGAAATGTAAACTACAATATCACAGATTTTTTTTTAATCTAGAGTGATTTCCTGTTTATAAAGGGTTTTCTTCCTCCCTTTAAAGATATTTTTGGCTGATGGCACATTTCTCTTTCATAATGACTAGGCTATAAAATCTCTTGCTAAGTAAATCTTGCTAAAAGGGTCTAAAAAGAGAAAAAAAAATCAAGGGTAAAGTAAGGAAATGAGAAAAGCATGAGGAATAATAATATTGCAGAATTGAAGAAATTCATTAGTCTCTTCAGGATGGTTTTTCTCCTCTATCATTAGGAAATGGTTTGTTCTTTTCTTCTCTTTAATAGATATCTACTAGGTTCCAATCACTGAGAAAGCTCCTGAACACACAAAATTGGACCATCTAGACTAAGTCATAAAAGGCAAACAATCAGTTTGGGGGCCACATTAGGTTCATGTTTTTCTATTCAGGAGAATAAAAAAATTATTGACAAGGGTAGAAAAATAAAATACCTTCACAAATTTACATGTCATTGAAGTTTAATGGGCACAAATAAAGTCACATTCATATTCAACTAGCACATTCTGTGAAAAAATCACTTTGTATTTTCCAACAAATATCTCAGGAACTCTACTCAATGAACCGAGAAAGGGAAAAGTGAAGTAGCCTTTTCTCTTTGGGGGGTCTGGCCACTTGCCCAGATCTATCTGACTTTGAAACAACGTTAATCTAAATTCAATAAGTGGAAGCAAAGACTATTTTGAAGGAGTTCAAATAAATTCTTATGATGTTCACAGAACATGCAGTCTTTTCCCATTAAAACATTACTGAGTGCTAAATAAGGCTACAATTAACAAGGTGCCAGAAAACAGCAGCAGAACTTCCAGTTTCCTGGTGCCAATTAAATTAAACCTCAATTGAAAGACAGAGTCCCTTACAAAGTCTTCCCTAATGATTTTTAAAAAGTGGGCCAGTTTTACCAAAGTTGTGAATAGCTGAAGTTTTTTTCATAAAAGCAGTACATAATACACATTGGCTTTAACTGGGACAAAACATTTGATCAATGTGCTCAGCCATGTGGAATGGACATGAAGAAAGAGTAGTTGGTTATTAATACAGGGTTAAGGCAATTGGGTACAAATCATCTTGAAGAACATACTGAAGAAGTGAGATATTCTTCTTGAGATGAAGGGAGGAAAAGAAGGGGTAAACAAAGGAAGAATGAAGAGAGAAAAGGAGATTGAGGGAGACAGAAAGAGAGAAAAAAGATGTTCCTGGTTAAACTACTTCTGAAATCTTCTTTCAAGGATGAGTATTTGTGATGGTAACATGTCAACTGGATCAGAAAAGCAAGTGATAGGTAGAGAGATTAGAATATAAATGTAATTTGAGACTCAGCCATAAATGATTAACACTTTCCTTTAAAGATCTGTTACTAGATTATTCTTTTTTTTTTTTTTTTTTTTTTTTTTTTTTTTTTTTTTTTTTTTTTTTGCGGGTTGTGGGGCCTGAACTCTGGGCCTGGGTGCTGTCCTTCAGCTCTTCAGCTCAAGGCTAGCACTCTACCACTTGAGCCACAGCGCCACTTCCAGCTTTTTCTGCTTATGTGGTGCTGAGGAATCGAACCCAGGGCCTCATGCATGCAAGGCAAGAGCTCTACCACTGAGCCACCTTCCCAGCCCTAGATTATTCTTATAAGCAGACAAGCACTATGTGACTCAGATTGCTATGGAAAACGTACCTGGACTCCATTCAGTGAGGCGACACCCATATAGAGGAACACACCATACAGTACAGGCATAGGGATAAACTGCAAAGGAAAAATAGTGGACAAAGGTTAAAGACAACAATAATAAAAACCCTGAAGGGGAAAATAGCTTAAATAAAGGCTAAATCTTCACCTAACAGTAAGGATCAAATAACACAGTGATCCCTAATTCAGGTAGTTTAGTCACCAATTGAAAAACTTCTAAACTTTGTACTAGAAATAAATGGGAAGAAAATGAGGGAGAGTTCCAATCTTCATTTCATGATGACTTCTTTTTTAATGAAATACATAACTTTACTAATATTTTAATTAATGTTTAATTAGTGCTGTTTTTCTTTGGTCTTAAAAGCATAGACTATGAAACCCAGATGACAGACTGGCTGTGATACAAGAGCAGAGGAATGAGTTGTCTTCCCCCTTAAGACCAAGATCCTTTCATGAGTCTGCTGATTTCGTTCCTTCATAATTTTTGTCAAATGATTTACCAGTTTGGTGTATGAATGTCTCTTTCAGTAAAATAAGCATTAACAAGTGTCTTCTTTCTCTCCAGGAACATTAGGAGGATAAACTAATGAGAACCTTTTCTTTAAGCAGGGAACATCTGGAAACTATTAATTATACACATGAATTAATGTACATCTTTTAAAGCCAAATTAATACATTTTCCCGCACTATTTAGCAAAAAAAGTCACTTGCATTAATATAATGTGTTTTAACAATGACACATTGTAATGTGATGTGTGTAAATTTTAGCTATTTCTAGAGCTCTGAAATGTAAGCAAATCAAGCATGATTCTGATTCTGGAAAGCATTCATTTGGACAACAAAAGGTGTCAACTTTGGAGTTCTGAAAAGAAGTTCAAGTAATTTCAGGGTTTTTCAAAGCTAAAATATGGAAACCTTAGTTCAGTGAATGCCAGCCTCACCATACACGAAACCACTGTGACCAGAAAGCAAAGAATAGCCTTTCAGTCATTTTGAGGGAAAAAAATCACTCCTTATATTAAGTGGAGCGCAATTTCTAAAAGCCTCTTTTTGTGATTCCCTAAAGCAGTTTTGTCTCTGAGATCCTTTGGCTGCTATTCGAGAATTTTACATTGACTATCTCTACTTGCTTGGTCACAAGAAGGGCTAAGCTTCCATGCCAATATATTTAGTTCTGTGAAACATCAACTATTTCTTCTAAGAAGATGAACAATTTTAACCTAACTAATTTTGATCTTGCGTGGTAGGGTACAAGTCTCCATTTCTTTTAGAATGTGGATGTTTTCTGTTCTTTACAATTCTTCTGCATACATTTATCAAAAGTAAAGATAAGGGTTGGGAAGGTGGCTCAGTGGCATAGTGCTTGCCTTGCATGCATGAGGCCCTGGGTTCAATTCTTCAGCACCACATAAGCAGAAAAAGCCAGAAATGGCGCTATGGCTCCAGTGGTAGAGCACTAGCCTTGAGCTGAAGAACTGAGGGACAGTACCCAGGCCCAGAGTTCAGGCCCCATGACCGGCCAGAACAAACAAACAAACATACAAAAGTAAAGATAAAACTAGCAGAGGGACCTTTTTATTATTTTGACACACCCCCCCGCTTTTTTTAAGACATCGTCTCCATCTCATTAATATGAAGGGTTTTCTTTGTTATCATTTTATTTCTAGGAAAGAGGATACAAAACTAGACTTAAAAAAGAGCAGTATAGTGCCATCTTGAAAAACTTCTTGAACTCCTATAGTAGTTACTTGTTAATCTGGTTTTTCTTTTTCTTTTTTGTTTTCTTTTAGCTTGAGAGTCAGGAAGGGTCAAGCTCTTGTCTTATCATCATCATATATCCAAACTTAGCTAAATATTTCTTCCAGAGTGCTTTTTCCCCCCTGTGGGGCAGTTAAGTAATATCCCTTTAATTCATTTAGAAGATTGAGTCTAGAGTACTTTTAAAAATGAAGTGAAGGAGAGCTATACACTGGGACTTAGCTCTCTTCTCTGAATTTATGAATACAGATTTTTAACCAGTCATCCACCACAAAATGAAACTAGAAAGTTCTTTAACACAAAATGGCATGCGGTATGGGCAAAGAAATAGCGACAGAAATGACTATTTTAAAAAAACCTATGTAACTTGATGGGAAGGAAATAATACCTATAAAGAAGGCTATTAAATTCAGTTTTAGTCCACTTTTATATGATACCAATGTGTATAAGATTCACATTTTCCTTGTAATTGTACAATATCTCAGTAAAAATCTTCCAGCCTAGAACATCTAATGTGATTTGACAAAATTGCTGGATTAAAGGGTATTTTTTTAAAAAATTGAATTTGGTTTATCAGTCACATCAGGTCAGTCTTTAAAAAATTAATCACACTGAAATCAGTCATCAAAGTAAACATTTTTTTAAAGGAAGGAAAAGCAGAATGCTCTTCTAAAGGAAAGGATCTCACCTTAACTTTAACCAAGAAAACATGCTAGTAATTCTAGGTGGAGATTTTTATAAAGCAAAACATAATACAAGGTATCCAAGTTGATAGGCACACCAAAAATGGTAAAATAATGAAATTGTACTAGGAAAATTATATAATCAACCATTCCCAGAAAGCCAACACACATCATTAGCAAATAGTATCACAGTCATTAAACACTAAAAATGAAAAAAAATAACTGATTCTAAAACCAGATAAAATAATGAAATTGAGACAAAATCAAAGTAAGTTTTAACATATTTATAAGATGACTAAAATTTCAAATTCTGGTAAATGTAAAATTGTACTTTTTCATTTATCTTTCTCTTCGATGGTGGTAGAATAGTCTAAGAAAGAAAAATTTGAAAAGGGTAAAAGTTAATAATATGAGATTGTAGTAGTGTCCCACTCAGAAATTTAGGATAGAACTGAGACTTCCTACCAACAAAATGTTCTGTGTGTAAGAGAGAGAGAGAGAGAGAGAGAGAGAGAGAGAGAGAGAGAGAGAGAGACAGAAACCCAGAGTGAGATCCTGGTTAGGAACATGGGCACAGAAGAATTCAAGCTACCAGCTATGAAACTTGGAGAAATATTATTCACTCCTCATACCCTCAGCATTCTCTAGAAAATGGCTATGATAAAGACACAGCAGAAAACATCTGGTCCTGGACAGGGCTCATAATAGAGGCTCAATCAATGTTAAGTATGATTATGCCATTATTATCATGAGTATCTTGACTGACAAGCACAGTTTTCTTTGGTCCCTCAGTAACAGGGGTGAGGAATGGCGGGGGTAGAAGCCAGAAGGATTGTTGAGAGGTCAGATGTGAAGCTCTGTTTCACTTAAGCTCCACCATATTGTCCTTTTAGTTATAATAACTGTTTCCAGTGATGCATTATTAAATTAATATCCTAATTCCTTTAAGCCTTAAAAATCTAAGCTGATAAAGAAGCTGCTGACATGTAACTCCATCACTAATCATAAAGGAAACTGGACTGAGTTTTGACAGGGCATTTGTGAAAATGCTTCATTTACTTTCACATGAGAGATTTCCAAACTGGATCAAAGAAGCTGGGAAAGATCATCTCGTGGGAAAAGAAAGTACATGAGTTCTTTGAGGGTAAGGATCAGCTTTTGTTTTTTAAAAGGTGGCAACCCATGAGGGTTATGAAATTGGCTTTGGTGCTGGAATTGCCTGAATTCAAATCATGGCTCTACCACTTAAGAACCTTGTGATCTGGTGAGTTAGTTATTCATCATTTCTCCAGTCTGTAAATGAAGATAATTGTTAGTATCTTTTTGTTAGATATCACTGAGGAGCTATTTAATATATATACATATATATATATATATATATATATATATCTCAATTAACTCAATAAGCAATGGTAACTACTGTTTGGGAATGTCATCATCATTACCATTACCACCACCACCACCACCCACCATGATTTCTTTATTTCCCTGGTACTGAAGAGAGATGTTGAATTCAACAGATACCTGTTAAGTACAAATTAAATGCTACGATCTACACTTGAGAAAGCCCAAACAATCTTAAAAGATATATTCTAGCCACTCCTCATGTTCAAGATAAACTAATTCAAACAAAGGCAACAGAAGTAGCAGTGAACATTATTTGATATTTACTTTTTGAGTCTTACTAGAAAGATGAGGAAAGTAAGCTCAAAGATCTGCTTTTCATCTTTTCTTTTCCTGCTCTTAGTCACTGTTAACTTCCTCATACAAGTTGCTAGCAGTAACAGGGACTGTTTCCACAATGGAAACCCTTTGCCAGCCTGGGAAGCTAGTTATTCTTGCTTCCCAGAAGTTCTGTGCTGAACCAGCCATGCGATTCGGCTCTTTGAGGGCTGTATGACTGTAACTGGTTAGGGTCAAGGGCTATCCTCATGAACTCAGTGCTGGCACACTATAATTCTTTACATTCCTCCACATGAAAGACAGATTTCGGCACAGAGATCAAAACGGAGGTCATAAACTTCATGTTCAAAGTAAGCTTGCTTAAGCAGGCGGGGAGAACAACTACCTCCACTACTTGAGGCATGAGAGAAAATTGTTCAGCTCATTGCGGGCCATTAAAGTTGTAGGGAGAAGAAGGGAGAAGGCAGGGAAGGTGTTGAGCCATTTCCTTTGAAAAAAGTAAAGTAAAAGTTACACATTTCTCTCATTCCCATTCATCTGATCTAACTTGCAAAGGGGGACTCTCAAGTTCAACTATTCTCTGAACTTGTCAACTGTTGCTTTAAAAAAACATACAGAGTCACATGAAAGAACAAAGTCCTCTCTTCCAGGTCAACCTCTAACACTCCTTTCTGGGTGAATTCTGATGTTAATGATTGATCATGACTTTTCTTTAGTTGTAATTTACAGGTTTAAGTTAAACTGCACCTCTAACATCTGCTTCTTCCTGTATTGACTTTTCAAATGAGCTAGCAAGGGATCTTCAATGAATGCACACAATTCACCAAAATTCAGTAGTAATTCAGCACATGATCTGCAGCTAACTGCCAGTATCAGGAGTCATGAAAGAAAGAACAACCTAACTTATTGAAGGAAGGAATCTCAATCGCCAATGCTAATTTACTCTTGCTGTTTTTAAATACAGGTTTTTTTTAGGATACATTGTGAGTAATATTGACAGAGCAGTTTATTTCCTGTATCTTGTGTAAAATCTTGTTTAAAAATGTTTTCTGAATTACCTTTTTTCCATGGATGCATTCAATGACCGTTCAGGTTAACCAAAGTCACCAGGCAGAAAATGCCACAGTCATGAATACTAGCAGTGGAAAGAGAAGGGTGTAGAGTTTGGGCTGGTCAAGGCCCGCCAAAGGAAAAAGCAGGCTCATGCTGGCCAATCCTAACTTCTCTCTATTTCCTCCTGGCTCTAGTCTGTAATCTCTTTCTGTAGATATGAAGGTGCTAGAGAGCAAAGGGCTTTCCACTGTAACTCCTCTGCAGCCATACATGGTGCAAGATGAGAAAGCAGGAAGAGCTGTTACCAGATTGAGTTTTGCAATCTTCCTAAAAGTTACAATTTACACTGCACCTGCGCCCTGTCCCTTTACAATCATCCATGAGTATTCAGCTGACAGACTCTCAACATGAGACGATTTGCTGTCACGCAAGTACACGGAAAAGTTTTAAATGTATCTGCATATTATTAATAAAACGTATTTGTAGTTATATGTCTACTATATTACTGGAAAGAAATCTTATACAAATAAAAGGTAAAATGAGGGACTTGGTGGTAATAAATAAATCTGAAGTGTTGTGAGTTTGTCCATTTAACCCTCCCTAATGGCTATGCTCTAGAAGTTCCCATAAAATGTTTTCAGAAAACACCAGGGGAACATTCATTTCTAGCAGAGCTTCCCACAATATGTGGTCACAATTGCTTAAAATGACTGTCTTGAAATGATCACTCCAGGTGAAGTCTCATTGCTTATAAGATTAGGCACTGCCACCAGCTGCTTGCTGGTGTCTACAGGTGACAGAGGAGCATTAAAGCATTTGATGGTAGACTGGATGCTGAGAAACTCACAAGACCTGCCAACCTCCAAATAAGTTGATTTGTATTGGCCAAGATGCCAACAGATTTCCCTTAGTCCCTAGTGGACATAGGCTTTGGACTTTTTCAAGGCTCTCTGCACATAACCAGAAACAATGTCCCTGAGGTTTTTTTTTTAATCTTAACTTTCCATGTGTTACCAGAAGAAACATAGCCCTAGATTCATTTGTGAATCTAGACAGAAATTAATTTAACCAGACAATTGACATTGTAGGCACCAAATATAAATGAATATTTTAATTAACTATTTAATATAAATATTAAATGTTTTAAATTAATACTTTAACTGCCAGTTATTTTGTACCTAATATATGCACTAATCTTAATACCTTGAAGGCTGAGTTAGTTATAGGTCAATTTATAGGTACTAAAGTTCTACTTTTCTACTGTTATATAAAATTTGCAAATCTGTGAGAAATGGAGGGTTTTGCTTTTCACTGTCTGCATTGTAAAATTGTAAGTTTCACTGTGTATTGAACTGTATTGGTCACCGTGTATTGTTAAATTGTTAGTTTACAAAAAAAAATGGGGGTAGTACTGGGGTTTTGAACTGAGGGCCTGTACTATACTTACTTGAGCCACAGTTGCAGCCCTTGTTTGAATTCTCTAGAACAATGTACTATGTAAGTAAATGAGTATTTTAAAATCTTAAAAATTTAATTTGTTTAAATTTGGACTTATATACATCACAGTGATTGTTCAAAGGTGTTAGATCTATGGGTAATTTTGGTGCTGTATGCTGTGGTGCAAGACACAGCATTAGCTACCATCATTTCTGTGAGAGGAAAAAAGAGGACACAAAGATTATATTACAAAAGAAAACTGGAAGCTTCAGGAACAGATATAGATGACCTTTCTTTTATATATTTCTTCTCTTAAAAAGTTCTTTACATATTCTTAGGAAAAGATCAAAAAGGCTCAATAACCATGTGCATATGATCATATAAAATGATGTTTATTGAAATAAACTCCAAGAAATGGAAACTAGACGGTTTTTTAAAAAATTGCTGTTTGTTTTTGTTACTTTTTTCCTCCTTTGTCATTGGATTTTTGTATCTTTTGTATCTTTTTGTAAGTTTATCTGTCTTGGGGAGAGCAAGGGGCGGCAGAGAAAGGAGGAGACAAAGGGTGAACAAATGTAGCAATGATACTAGACACTATGGTGAAAATTTGTAGGGGCTTCAGGAGGGAAAAACTGTAAGAAAACAAGGGAAGAGGTGACACTGTTCAAAAAGAAATGTACTCATCTGAATTATGTAACTGTAACTCCTCTGTACATCACCTTTAAAATAGTGATTTTAAAGAAAGTCCTTCACATGTTGTTTCTACATATTCTATGTAGGCAGACATTTAGCACATCATCTAAATCTATGTGTTGATTCTAAATGTTTCCAACTATTCTACCATGTTATTTTTCTTTCTCAAAAAGTTCTCCGATTAGGAATCCATAAGTTTACTCTCAGTACCCTTATAATGATTATTAGGCCTTCTAGCGCAAACAAAGTCGAAGCACAGCAATAATTAAAAATAGGTGGAAATTTCAAAATGAGTATTCTGAATCCTTTATGGTATTCAGAGCCCAAGAGAAGAGGAGAAGGATTTAGGTACCAGTAGGAAGTTAATGGAAGAAATGATGGACAGGAAGACAGGAGAAGTGGAAAGTATATGAGCAGAGGGGATGAAGATTAGTCAAACTGAACTGTAAGAACACTTCCCTCATGGGTCAGGATTGAATACTAGCAATTCTATGTGGTTCAACCAAATAAGTGTGTAAATAAAAATGAGGGCTAGGTTCAAGGGTTAGAAAGAAATCAAGATAAACATTGTTTAAAGTCCTCTTTCAATGACAGTGTTAGGGAATCTTAGAAGTATTTCACCCTTCACATGTGCAATTATTCAGCAATGTTTTGAGAAAGAGGAAGAGGCAAGTGTTACTCATATTTACCTTCAAGATGGGAGCCATAAAGACTGACAGACCAGTCAGAATAAACACAAGGGTTCCAGTGACTCTTTGTTCCCTGAAACCAAATCAAAAGATTACCACCAATCTACCTCTTGTTTTCAAAAACATGCTCTTGTCTTCTTACCTTAAAAAAATAAATGATACATTGACCAAATCAGTATTTGTCTAGAACAGTCAAGGTGTTTATCCCGTAATGAATACACCTCAACAACATGGTATGAATTCAACATAGCTATAAAAAATTCTCTTGAAGCTATTGCAATATGATTTGAATTCATGAAGAAAGAAATGATCTGTTCAAGTTCTGCTCCTTTAAAAATCAAGAAAAAGATCACTTGCTCTTGGTCCATCAATTACAGACCTCCTTAAAGCCCTTATTTTTTAAACAACTGGTCCTGTTGTGTAATTATACCTTCTTTCATAGAAGACAGATGTTACATTGTCCCACAATCTAATTAACAAATAGCTCAGAGGAATTTCATTGAGTGCAATAAATCACACCAGTCTCATTTCCAAATCTACAACAACGAAAGTACTTTCTAACAAATATGATTCCCATCCAACACCCACCCTCTCACCTTCCCCCCAAGAAAAGAATCACCCACTGTTGAGGTGTGGGAAATAACGGCTTTGCCCTGTGAGCTATGCAACCAAGCACTTATGACCAGCGTTTGTTGCAAAAAAAAAACAAAACAAACCAGATGCCAGTGGCTTATGCCTATAATCCTAGCTACTCAGGAAGCTGAGATCTGAGGTGTGTGGTTCAAAGCCAGCCCAGGCAGGTAAGTCTGTGAAACTCTTAGCTTCAACAAACTACTAGAAATCTGAAAGTGGTGCTGTGGCTCAAGTGGTAGAGCGCTAGCCTTGAGCTGAAGAGCTGAGGGATAGCACCCAGGCCCAGAGTTCAAGCCCCACGACAGACCAAAAAAAAAAAACACAAAAAATAAACAAACAAAAAAGCGCCCAGTGGAGGAGAGCATAAAGGTCTTCTACCAGTGCTCTTCATGGCTACTCCTATTTAAAACTGGAAGATCAACGTTTCTAAGTACTTATGGGGACAGAAAATAGATTGGAATATAAGAATCCATTTTCCTCCACTCAATATTGTAAATCATAAGCAGAACCAACATTTTAAGGGCCTTTCCATATGATGGAGATACAGTTGGTACTTTGGCACCACGAGCACCTTCATATTAAGGAAAACAAATAACCTGCTTGTATTTCGGATTATATCTTTTCATCTTTTTCTCATCAAAGGAAATTTATGTACCAGAAGAAATAAACTACAAATTTTAATCAAAACTCTTTCTGATTATTAAAAAAAACTAGACATTATAATGGAACCGAAAATTTAGAAATAAGAAAGTCATCAACAGCCCCCTCTACTCCAGATTTGGTCATTTCCTTATGCTTGACAGATAGATATTCACCGAGGATGATTTATAGTCTTCCCCCTTACCCCAATTTAACTCACCTCACTCCTAGAAATTTAGGTTGTTCTCCGGGTGCAGAAGTCTCTGTCTCCATCTTCAAACTGTCTATGTGAGCAATGGAGATGACGGTAGCGGCCACATACCATGGGAGAGCCATGAAGGAGCACACCACCATGAGGATAGCCACCCAAAAGAGATCCAAGTGATACCCAGCTCCTTTCTGCGGGGGAAAAAAGAGACAATGAGACAATGGTTACATTTGCTGCCAAGCTGTGATTCCACGTGTGAGTTCACATTAGTAAAAGAAGCGAACTCATTTTGCTTCACAAAACTATCTATAGAAGGTAAGCTCCTTGAGGGAACTTTGTCACCTTCACACAGCTGCCTGCCTCTGGTAGCTGCAGGAGCCATTACCTCCTCTACAGTAGCTCTGGATGCTGCTTTAACTTAAGAATTAAGTCACTGCTTCACATGGAACTTCTAAATTAACCCCTCTGCATCCATGCTTGAGAAGGTTGTCTGTCCTTTGTTATCAGAATGATTGGGATATGTGCCTACTTTAAAGAGTTACTCTGAGTTATTCAATGAAAAAGTTACTCTGTAGAAGCATACTGTAGCAATGTGAATGACAGTAACTGCTACATACTGGGCTCAAATGGAGATTTTAGCCTTTGTCATAGTGGTATTGCTTCTTATTAACACAAGCAGGATAGAATCCTTAAAAGTATGCACTCTGCCTTATCTGTTGAATTGTATTTAACACGATGCTGTTCATCTGGATAGCATTTATAAGGATCCCGAAACAATGTGAGATGGTATATAAAGATCACTTCTGGCTGTTGCTAGCATATGAACATAATTGTTTAACAACTTATTAGCCATCATCATAAAGGTAATGGATACCTCTCCTTAACCAGAAGAGGCTAATTTCAAATAGCACCAGTGGTCACAATAACATTTACTGACTGGAAGAGCAGATGGGGCAACCAAGTTCTGTGCTCTTTTACTCACTAAATAAATAGTGTTAAATGTGTCTGCAATGTTATTCTATGGTTATATTTCTCTGCTCTGTTTATGAAGGAACAGAATACCTATGCCTTCTCGGAGATTGAAGAGACAGAGCAGTCCATGTTCCCAGCATGGAAGCGTGAGTACTAAGAGCCACAGGTGGACCAATCCAAGGGAAAAGAAGGGTTGGCTTGGGAAAGTAAGGAAGTGAGTTACAGGAGGAACCCAATCATTGTTATCCTTTAGGATCCTATTACTGTTTGTCTGAACACTGTTATGCTCCCAATGAAATGCCAAGAGTTTACCCCTGGTTTGCACAGATGGTTATAACCATGTTCCCAAAGAGGATGGCAGGCAGTCCGAGAAGCAGACAGAAGAACAAAAAGCACTTAGTCCATGTTTGAGTACAAACAAAAAGATCTGCTCAGGAGAACAGGCTAACAAATATATTATTCCACTGGTATATAATGTTTCCTTTTGGGAAATCATAATTGTTTGAATTCAGAGTGGGGAAATGAAGGGGGAAAAGGTGCAGGGCTTCAAATCCATTCTCATCTTTCCAGCTGTCAACATGGCTGGAGGTGATCCATTTGGATCTAACCCCTATCCCTCTGGCTTCATTTTCAATCATAATCTCCTTGTGTTCCAGTCACACAGGCCTGTGATATGTTCCTCAACACACCAAACAACCATCTCCTGGGACTTTGTATTAGCTCCTATCTTTGCACGTAAAATTATTTACTAAACATTTATTGAATACCTATTCTGTGGTAGGCCCTATGGTAGGATGATGGAATATCTGCCCTTATAAAAAAATACAGTCTAGAAAGGGAAGCCAGATGAGAAAACAAATAATATAATGTACACAGAAGACAAAAAAGGAAGTGTGGCCAGTTTTAATCTTGACACTGGACATGAGGGTGAATAGGAAAAATCCACTGAACTCCTTCAGGGCACAGACTCTAAAGTAGAGCAACTTTTGCCTTCAACACTTAACACAAATGTTCTGTCCAATGCAAACACTCCATACATGCTCAAAAGGTTAATTATGCCCTTTAAAGTCTAAAAAATGTTCTTGTCTTCATGACCATAATCCTGAAGGAAATTCTGTCTTCTGGAACTGGGTATTATGTTGAGTACAAGGAGGGGAAGTAAAAATTTATTTCTCTTAGAAATTTTATACACTGTGCTGATACAGAACAAAAGTAATTTAGGAATCAATCCACAGAATCAAAGTGGAGGAGAGGTAAAGGCTGGCTTAGCAGCCTATATTTCATGGGGTGGAAAGGTAAGACTACAACAGAAATCACCAGCAATACATATACATGCAGAAACACATTCAGCACGCATGCTAGAAGCCCACCAGGACCCTCACAGTATTGCTGCTTTATGGGATAATATGACAAGTCTCATGATAACCAGATTAAGGGACTCAGGCTTTATGAAAGTGATAATGCACTCCAAACAGAGGCTCACAGGCATTTGAGAATGATACCTACAAGTGCAGAGAAAGCCTACAATGATCTCACCAAAGCTCTCTGAGGGACTTTGATGAATGGAAGCACTCACTGAGAACTGGAGGTAACTGGGCATGCTTTTTAGTGGTTGTCTATCTCACACAGCATAGTAACTTTGAGAACCATATGATCAAAATAATAAAATCTACAGTTACAAGTATTTATTGAATCTACCTTATAGAATCAGGATGGGCAACCTAAGAACTGAAAAGAAGGGTGAAATTATGGCCTTGATTCTGAAAACACTGTAGTCTAGAAGTAAGGATTGAAGTAATCACCAAAAATAAACACTGTGAGCCATATGTGACCAGTGACAATAATATAACTATGCTAAGATACAAAACCCAAAAGCAAGCACAACACAAATTAGATTAGGGATGAAGGTTGGTTAGACTGGGGAGGGTATGTTTTCCAGGATCTTAAAGGATAAAGAGGATTTTGATAAATAGCAATTGTTGAAGAGTAAGGAGAAGAGTGTTCTAGTCAGAAAACCTAGTAAAAGAAACTATCATATAAAGAGAAGCTGTACAGATCAACTGACCAGGGCACTTGCTAGTGTTTGGAAAGAATCACTTTACATGTAGGTGGAAGTCATCTCACAGGGAAAAGGACATTCTTTATGGATGGGGAGGTGGGGGGAGGGGGGAGAGGCAAAGGGTTGAAAGGCCACGCTGTAAAGTTCAGAACTACAGACTAGTGGGTAAGAACAGAACTTTAAAATTCTAGCGCTTCTGAAAGCAAGAAAAGTGACTACTAACATGACTAAATCTTTTTTAAAAATCTAGACATGAAATTAAAAGACCAAGGAAGGCTATAATGACTGTAACAGAAAAAAATAAAGATAGCATACAGTGGCATTTTGAGTCATAAACAAAATCAAATGATTTGAAAAAATCACACCTTGGTTAGGGTTTTACCACAAAAGGTGTCCTAAAGTTGGGTGCCGGTAGTCACGCATATAGTCCTAGCTACTTCAGAGGTGATGATTAGGAAGATGAGAGTTTGAAGGTAGCTTAGGCAAAAAGTCTGTGAGATTCTGTCTCATATTTGAGTTTTTTTTTTTGAGTCTGTCTCATATTTGTGTCTGCCTGTCATCCCAGCTAGTGGAAGTTCTGAGTTGGGGATCGTGGTTTCATATCAGCTCAGGCAAAAAGTTTATAAGACCTCATCCCACAGAACAACTTCTGTGTGGTGACATGGGATTCTTATTCCAGCTACTGGGGAAGCATAAATAGAAGAATGGCCGTCCAGGTCAAAATTAAGACCCTGTCTCAAAAATAATAACCAAAGCCAAAAAGGATGGAGGCATAAGGCAAATGAATCTACCTAGCAAGTATAAGGCCTAAGTTCAAACCTCAGTAGTAACAATGGAGTCACAGTGACAGCTGCCCCAATGATCCAATATGTATTTCCAGGTACCTGTTTTAAATGACTTCTCCTTCCTTTATACAACCTCTGACACTCTTGATATAATTTTCTTTGGGAGCAGTAGCTTTGGTTTTGCAGTCAAAAGCTGATTCTGCCTGCCTCTGACTGCCAATACCTCAGGAATGACCTTGGAGAAGTCTCCACTTTGGAGATATGGTTTGTTTTTGAGCACTCTGCAGGGATAATGCAGCATATAACTAACTGAAAATGATAGCCCCAAACAGCCAAGTACCTTGGTACAGAACTGTTCATCCGAGTGGAAAGATAGATCCTGTCTCTAACCGAGCCGACAGCTAGACCCACCTACAGGGAACCAAAGTCAATGCCACCCAGAAAGATGCCTCTTAGGTCAGAGTGCCCACCTCCCTTACTGCTTCAGGTTTCTCTTTTGTATGAACTTCACAGTACCCAGGGCCCTTTACAATTTTAGACAACTCAAACTGTCATATTCTGCAGCTCTCATTTCCAAGGTGCACAACGTGAACACAACAATTTCCAGAGTGAAAAGCCTTTGATTCATGACGAAATGTCCATGGTAACATTATGTTTCTAACAAAAGACTAGTACTTGTTCCATGACTATCATTATCCTGCAGAACAATTTCCAATAAGCAGCTCTAAAAGTGATGAAAACTTGTTTACTAGCCACTCACATCTTATTTCAAAAGGCAATTACTAATTTATCTCAATTTTCTAATGTTCTCTATGAGGTCTAGGGGAATAAATTTTTTCTATATTTTACAAATCCTTAATTTGCTAAATTCTACATTCAAAAGAAAACTTAGTTAAAAACAACAAAAGAATAAGCATTTATCTCCAGAGGTACACAGTCAACCATAGATTAAAATGAAAAGTATGTCAAATTTTTAGAAATAAAAATATATTAGCAAATATCAATTTCTAGCCCTTTGATAAAGCAATAACAAAAATCCCTTACTAGCTGGGTGCTGGTGGCTCAGGCCTATAATCCTAGCTATTTAGGAGGCTGAGAGCTAAGGATTATGCTTCAAAGCTAGCCCAGGCAGCAAAGTCCATGAGACTCTTATCTCCAAATTAACCACCAGAAAACTGGTAGTGGCACTCTGGCTCAAAGTGGTAGAGCACTAGCCTTGATCTGAAGAGCTCAGGGACAGCACCCAGGCCCAGAGTTCAAGCCCCATGACTGACCTCCCCCACAAAAAAATGCTTTACTAATATAAAATATACAGTGAGGAATACATGCCTTCCTTGACTTGCTAAAATTTCCTGATATAAATGACAGAGAACCAAGATGGTATTTTCTAAAAGATTAGTAGAAATGCTTGTCCTACAATGAAAATCAATTTCTCTCTTTAACTTTGTATATTAGGTGAGGGTAAGTGCCACTTACGCTCATGCTTCCTGAAAAATAAGTTCTGCTGGAGTTCAAGTTATTCTTCACCCTATCCTTCCATGTCACTAAATATGCTAGAGAATTATTATACTCCCTACCATTGAATACCTCCTTTTGGATTTCAGCAACTATCCCATGAGCTTTTGCTTTACCACCCTCCTGTGATGCAAAGGAGACTTCCAGAACTCTGGTTTCTCCAACCTCCAAGCTTGATGAATGGCATCTCAATATACTTTAGGAACTAGTCACACACTGTACCAGTCCATCAATTAGTTTTCTCTCCTATATGACCCTCAAAATCTCAGCTTCTCCTCCTGTCCAAAGTGCTTATTTCCTCCTCCTCCTCCCAGTCGTATTAGTTCTAGGATTTACTTCTTTCTCTCCGTGATCTACAGTTCTAATTGGATAACCTTCCTCATCTCTCCTATTCTTGGTCCAGTGAGTTTCTTATAGTCAAACAATCCTTCTGCAATACTTCTGCTGAATTCCTTTCTTAGAAATTTCCCCTCCTGCTTTCTGGGTGATGGATGCTAATGCATCATCTTGCTTCCCTTACATAGCTATTATAAAAAGAAGTAATAAGTTGACATATAATATGAAGTTCTTACAATGTTGCCTGACTCACAGTAGGAATCCAATACGTTTTAACTTCTATTAGTGTTATGATTCATCTCTCACTTCACCAGAGGGTATTTATGAAACTATTTGTGACCTAAAGTCAGTAGAAATGGAAAACATGATATAAGGTAAGAACATTTATGCAGCTGTCTTGAAAGATGTTTCAGACCACTAAAGCATTTTTTAAGGCATATAACAAATGAAATCTGTAACAAATACAAAATAAAGCATTTGCTTCTCCTTACCTTATGGTCAGTAATGCCCTGAGACAACGATTTCAAAACTAGCATATAAATACTTAGCAACATCTTGAAACCGTTGAATAATCATTATGAATAAGCCTTCAGTGTTTCCAAACACAAAGAAATGATATTTAAAGAGATGGGAATACTCATTGCCCTGATTTGATCATTATACCTTCTACATATGTATCAAATTATTACACTAAATCAAATTAATATGTACAATTAATTTTATTTTCAGTGCTAGGATCTTATGCATGCCAGGCAACTATTCAGTTATATTTCACAATTCTATATTTTTAAGGCAAAGAAAAGAATACATTATGAGTTGATTTAACATATAACAGGGCTCATTATAGGTTAATTTAATCTTTGATTATCATTTCCTTCATTAAGGACAGGTAACAACATTAAAATCAACAGTAGGATGACTGGTTAAGAGGTAAAGTATTATTGATATTTGCTCTTTGGTAGTGATGGAGAGATGGGTGAACCATATTTCTTGAAACTGAAGTGAGTTTCCCTCAGGTATTGCATTGAGGATCTGTGTCAACACAGGTGATCTATGCTCTGCCAAAATCTAACTCACAATAAAGCTGTCTTTGTTTTGAATCACTTAGCAGTATAAAGAATGGAAAGGAGTTCAGAAGTCATTGATAACCATTATTATGGACACTTACCTTGAGTTTGTGTTCTTTCCTGTTTACAATCACAGCTGTGATTTGCTGGTCCATGAAAATCAGAATAGTGACCAACAAGGCAGGAATAGCAGCGGCAAGGTATACCCACCAGGGGTTTCCTCCGAATGGGGGTATAAACCATCCCCGGTTTGGACTTGTTGGCTTAAAGCAAAGAAAAGAATAGTCTTCAGAATAGTATCACGTGGATATGTGATACTTGGTGAAAAAAAATCAATGAGAGTATAGACTTTTATTTTTGGAGAGTCAACATATTAAAAAATAGAAAGTTATAGACTGAAGATTTTTGGTAAATACCAAAAGTCTTCCCAGAGGATGCCATTTTTTAAAGGTATCTTTTAAAGAAAAGGAGAGAAAGGATATGGGCTGTTGGAAAGGCAGGGGATGCTGTTTTGTTAACTTTCTAGTACCAGGAAAATTTACAAACATTTAATAGATATTGAATCAATTAATGATGATTGGTTGAGTGAGAACATATCTTTGATTATGCATATATAATGGCAGACCCAATGCAAAATTATCATTTGCTGTCCCCTAACTATTCCTTCCTTATTACATAGCTGTTCAACTAAAATGCAGGCAGCTTAATATATCTTAGCCCATATGTGATCTCAATAATAGAGAGGATGAATACTGTTCTAGAAAAGAGGAAATGACTCAAATGGAGATTTATCCATTATACCCATATAATATAATAGGTTCACAAATAATTCTGTCTTTTTGGTAACAACTAAAATTTACATGATATATAAATGTATTTGGCAAAGTGTCTGTTAGTGTAAAAAGGGAATTAATTTGGACTAGAAAGCTTGAGTTTTAATTCTATTCTTGTTTTTTTTTAGGTCCGGTTGTGGGGCCTGAACTCTGGGCCTGGGCACTGTCCCTCAGCTCTTCAGCTCAAGGCTAGTGCTCTACCACTTGAGCCACAGCGCCACTTCCGGCTTTTTTCTTTTTGCTTATGTGGTGCTGAGGAATCAAACCCAGGGCCTCATGCATGCAAGGCAAGCGCTCTACCACTGAGCCACCTTCCCAGCCCTAATTCTATTCTTTAACATCACTAGTTTAACCAGGTATATTTTATCTTATTTTTATTATGCAGCATATATCCTAGAATTATTATCTGGATCAAGGAGACAGGTATGTGAAAATACTTCAGATATTTGTAATGTTACAAGTTATTTTAAAATAAAAATCAATACAGTGGGAACCTTTGCTTTTGATTCTAGTCTTGCCATTTAATTTTGGGGCAGAAGTTTGACTGTGTGAGCCTAACAATGGACAGTTTTTGAAAAAATGAATCCTTATACAAAGCTAACTGAAATAGTCACAGTAAACTGAGATAGAGGCAGGAAGAAAGTAGAAGAATTAGTGAAACAATGCAAAGGTAGACATCTGCTTACCTTGAACTCGCTTGGCACAATTAGTTTTGGAGTGTCCACACCTACCAGAGCATCTATCCCACAAAATATGAGAATAGACAAGATAATGGCAAAATCACTGATCAATTTTCTTGCCTGAAAAGAAAAAGAAACAAGCACTCTTTAGCACCAGATACATATAATTCTGCATTTGAAGTGAACAAAAATTTCTGCAGTTGCTAACAACTTTTTTTTTGTCAGTTAGGAGACTTGAACTCTGGGCCTGAACACTGTCCATGAGCTCTTTAGCTCAAGGCTAGCACTTTACCACTTGAGCCACAGCACCACTTCCGGTTTTCTGGTGGTTTATTGGAGATAAGAGTTTCATGGCTTTTCCTGCCTGGGTTGGCTTTGAACTGCAATTGTCAGATCTCAGCTTCCTGAGTAGTTAGGACTATAGGCACGAGCCATTGGTGCCTGGCTTGCTAACAATTTATAATGACCAATTCTTTAAGAAATTATCAGCCTGCCAGACATAAGACCCTACAAACCACTAATGTATATTCTATGTGTGTGTCTGTGTGCATGTTTTGCATTCACAAGCAAGGCAAGAAAAATATATCTTTGAAATATACCATATATGCACTTATCCTGTATACAATATACATGAAAAAATAGATAAGAATGAAATTTAAGCATGTATTGCACTAAGACATCAAATTCTGTTTATGTAGACAGTAGCACTATGGTGAATAAAATACAGTCTCAAAAGGTAACCTAAACACACACACACACACACACACACACACACACACACAAACTATTAGTCAGGGAAAGAATTACAACTTCCAATCCATTGGGAAAGACCACAGTAAAGTCAAGTGATAGAGGGCAGAAATGTGAAGGCTGACTTAGTTCTGTTTTTTTAAATTATTTTTTTATCTTAAGTAGATGTACAATGGAGTTCTCATTCAACCAATTGGTTTTTGAGTACAATGCATTTTGATTGATGTCATGTCTTTCACCATCCTTCCCTCCAACCCAACTTCTTCCCTCAATTTCCTTAATTTTGTAAGATATGCATTAAATATGATAACTGCATTTTTCCCCTGCATCCTCTTTTCATTCACCTCCCTTCCTTCCTATCCCTGAATTTTCCACATCTATCAAGTGGTGTTTTTTTGATAGTGAGTTCATTTTTCTAAGAATCTGCACTGTTTGAATTGTCCCCTACAAATATGATGCTTTGGTTAATACATTTGTGTACACTTGCATACAGACCCATATGTATTTACTTGTGCATTTATTAATGAGCTGTTAATTCCACATATGAAAGAAATGGTGCATCCTTTATCCCACTGGGCCTGACTTCACTTAAAATAATTTTTCCAGGACGATCCATTTATTTGCAAATGATGTAATAACATTCTTCCATAGGTATGAGTAAAATTCCATGTGTGTATATATAACACTGCATTTTCTTGATCCGTTCATCCATTGAAGGGTATCTGAACTGTTTCCGTACCATAGCTATGATGAGTAAGGGACTTGGTTGTACAAGAGGCTTTACTGTATTCTGATTTGCAATCTTTTGGATAATACCCAAGAGTGGTATTGCTGCATCATAGGAGACTTCTATGCTTACTTTTTTGAGGAATCTCCAAACTGGTATCCACAGTGGTTGAACAAGTTGACATTCCCACCAACAGTGTATTAGGGCTCCTTTCTCCCCACATTTGCACCAACATCTGTTGTTTATATTCTTGGTGATGGCCATTCTAAATGGGATGAGATGGAATCCCATTCTTATTTTGATGTGCATTTCCTTTACCGGCCAGAGATGTTGATATTTCTTCATGTTTTGATTGGCTGTTTTTATTTCTGAGAATTGTCTTATCTCCTTTGTCCATTTATCATTTCGGTTGTTAATTCTTAAGGGTTTAGTTTCTTTAGTACTTTGTATATTTTGGATATCAAGTCACTGTCTGAGTATAAGTGTCAAAGATCTTCTCTCCCATTCTGTAGGCTGTTGTTTTAGCTGGTCACCTACGCCCTTTGCTGTGCAGAAACTTCTTGGTTTGATGAATTCCCATTTGTCAGTTCTATTTTTGATGTGCTGAACTCCTGAAACTTTACTCAGAAATTTCCTGCCTAATGTTTCTCCTACTCCTTCTTGTAGTAGTTTTGTGGTTTCAGATCTTACATTGAAGTCTTTGATCCAGTTTGAATTGATATTAGATCAGGGTGATGTATAGATCCAGTTTCCATTTTCTCTGAATGTAGACATCCAGTTTTCTCATTATCATGTGCTAAAGAGGCTTTTTTTCATCCTATGTTTTTGGCTTTTCTATCAAATATTTGATGGCTGCTGTAGGTTTTTCAGTTTATTTCTGAGTCTTCTATTCTGTTCCATTGGTCCTTGGGCCTGTTTTTAATACCAGTATCAAGCTTGTTCAATATTATAGCTCAGTAGCCAAGTAGCCAGTATTACTTTTTTGCCCAGGATTACTTTTTGTGATTCAAGGGCTTTTCTGGATATGAATTTTTGGATTGTTTTCTCTTTCTCAGTGAAGAATGACATTGATATTTTGAATTTGTAGGTTGAATTTGTAGATTGCCCTAGGCAGTATTATCATTTTCATGATATTAATTCTGACAGAAACACAAGAAGTCTTTCTGCTTCCTAATGTCTTCAATTTCAATTAAATTCCCAACAACAAACCCTCAAAGAAACAACTGACCAATTAATAAGAGGGCTAAAGACTTAAAGAGAAACTTCTCTGAAGAGGAAATAAGAATGGCCAATAGACACATGAAGAAATGCTCAGCCTCTCTAGCCATAAAAGAAATGCAAATCAAAACAACATTGAGATTCCACCTCACCTCAGTTAGGATGGCTATAATCAAGAACTCTAACAACAACAGATGCTGGAGGGGATGTGGCCAGAAGGGAACCCTACTGCATTTTGGTGAGAGTGTAAACTTTGGAAGGTAGTATGGAGGTTCCTCAAAAGACTCCACATTGGGCTGGGAAGGTGGCTCAGTGGTAGAGTGCTTGCCTTGTATGCATGAGACCCTGGGTTCGATTCCTCAGCACCACATAAGCAAAAAGAAAAAAGCTGGAAGTGGCACTGTAGCTCAAGTGGTAGGGCGCTAGCCTTGAGCTGAAGAGCTGAGGGACAACCCAGGCCCAGAGTTCAGGCCCCACGACCGGAACCCCCAAAAAAATTTTTTAAAAAGACTCCACATATAGCTCCCCTATGACCCAGCAATCCCACTTTTGGGCATTTACCCAAATGATCACAAACAAGACCGTAGTAAAGCTACCAGCACAACTATGCAGCATTATTGCAGCATTATTTACCATAGCTAAGATATAGAACCAACCCAGATGGCCCCAGATGGAATTCTATTCCTCCATCAGAAAGAATGACCTCACCTCATTTGTTAGGAAATGGAAAGACTTGGAAAAAATTATATTAAGTAAAATAAACCAGGCCCAAAGAAACATAGGTCGCATGGTTTCCTTTACTTGCAATAACTAGTATACATCATCTTAGACAAGCAGAAAAGTTCAGATAAGATGATGTTAAGCGAAATGAACGCCAAGGTAGGGACACAAGTGGTTTTTTCTTTCTTGCTATTGTTTCTAATGTAATTATAAGGTACCATGTGATTTTTTTTGTTGCTTTGTATGTCCCTCCCCCATGGTATAACCCCTGTTTTCACTGTATTCGATGTTGGTATAATTTGGGGAGGGGAAGGGAGAAAACAAATTGTTTAAATAGGGATACCCACTGCAACAATGAGATGTACAAGATACTATGTTGAAAAACAAACTTTACAATTTAGGTGGGGTGTGGGGATGGAGAAGGGGGAGTGTAGTTGAGGAGGTGGGAGGGAAGGGATGGGAAGGGAAAAACAAAGGAGGCGGCAGCAATGCTTGACAAGAAATGTACTCATTACCTTGCTCATGTAACTGTAACCCCTCTGTACAGCATTTTCACAATAAAAATCATTTAAAAAACACTATAGTATCAATGGAGAGCTCTCTTTCACTTCCTTAGTTTGATTTCTGAGTATTTATTTATTTATTTATTTATATTTAGCAGCCCAGGGAATTGAATTGAGGGCCTTATGCTTAGTAGGCAGGTACTCTACAAATTGAGCCACACATTCTTTTTCTATTGTAAGGTAGGTTCTTGTTTTCCTGAGGTTCTAGCCCACGCTAGCTTGAGCTGCAATCCACCTATTTGTGCTTCCCAGTACTACGGGGAATGTCAGATGTGTACTACTACACTCAGTCATTGTGTTTCTCTTGAAGTTAAGATAACAAGCATGTAATATTGTAGTTGGCCGTGGTTAAGATGGAGACTTGTAGAATTTTCTCGAACTATAACCCTCTGATTTCTACCTTCCAAGTAGCTAGGATTGAAGGCTTGAGCCCCCATGCCCAGCTAGAATGGATAGTGTTTGTCAAAGAATACTCTTCAGCTAGTTTTTAAAGTCTATGTAATGCAGGACATTTCTTTCCACTATGTAAGAATGGCTACCTTTATCTGCTTATCCTCCAAATTCCTACATGCCTGCTTCTAGGACAGTAGCTTGTTTTTGTCAGACACAACATTAGATCATGTCCTTTCCCATGACATGAATGCAAAATGGCCACTTATGAGACATTACCTGGAGCACGGACTTTTTGGTTATATGGAGGTTGTTCTAGCTTCTAGAGGCACTGCTGAGAGTTTAAGAGCATTATTAAACCCTGATATCCATCGGGCTCCTGTGGCTCACACCTGTAATCCTAGGTATTCAAGAGGCTGAGATCTGAGGATCACAGTTCAAAGCCAGCCTGAGCAGGAAACTTCAATAAGACTATCACCTATTAATCACAGAAAAAGCTGGAAGTGGAGCTTTGGTAGAGTTCTAGCCTTGAGCAAAAGGAGCTAAAGGACAGTGCCCAGGCTCAGATTTCATGGCTTAGTACTAGCAAAAACAAAACAACAATAAAAAACCCATGTTTTCCAGATCTCCCATAAGAAAGGTACATATTGTAGTGCAATTTGAGCATTCAACAAGAATTTACTTGGGTCCTCATATTATATTTGGTGCTAAGGACACCAGAGGGGAAGAAAGCTGATATAACCCATGCCTTC